CATAGGGAGAAACACGCGATATTAGTTTACGTTGTTGTTTTCTGTTTTTGAAGTTTTGTTAACTGGTGTTATCTTTTCAAAACCGTATATTGTATTTGTTTTTAAAAATATTAGGGAAATTAAAAAAACATGTTCACAAAACATGAGAGTAAACCCATCCCTACAGGGTGTCTCAAAGAAAAATATTTTGATATATTTGAAAAATAAGTTTGAGTAAACATTTGACTCTCAGTGGCAATACCAAAGAAAAAGACTAAAATAATAAAGGAAATGGCGGAATCCGTTAAACATTTCACAAAAAAATCAAATATCGAAATGAGCATAATTTTTAGTGGTGCAAAGCTTTGGTTTTTGTGGTTAAGTTTATTATGAAATCCATGCAACGACAGCTTTAGTTAGTACTACTGAATATGGGCTGAATACCTGAGAATTTCTTGGTAAACAATCTGAAAACAACGTGGATGCGAAAGTGACAAACACTGAAATAAAATAAAAATCAGAAACTAAATGACGGCGAAGAAAAGAAAATGTAATATCGCTAGCACAATATATAGATATATTTATTTATTATGTATTCACTTTATTGTTTGATATTATTTTATTTTACATTCAGTCGCGGTTTGGTAAACAAAAAGTATTTACTCTTTTCATATGAAGTGTTTTGGACGAGTTAATCTGAAGATTTGTAATTTTAGATGATAATTAACTATTTAACAAAAGGGTAATTTAATTATACTTTACTACTGTTTAAGTATACTGTTAGTTCATAATAATTATGTCGACTAACAAAATAAGTATTGCTTTAAATGACTTAACATATTTAAATTTAAAACAATTTGTAAGCTTGGTATTAGTTGATAAGCACGTTATCAGAATTCATGACAAAGTTATTACATGTATATACATGTACATGTACAGCTGGGAGACACTAATTTACTTAGGACTCTCAAAATAATCAAAGCAATAGATGAGGCTCAAAGTAAGCTGAATTTCGATCAAAAAGTGACGAAAAAATTAGCAGAGAAACAAATAATCGAACGGAAAGTGGATCATATCCAAGAAGCAAAGAAAACAGATAATAGAAAAAGAAGACAAAGCCTTGGTAACAGGAATATTAGGATACAACAAAAATTCTAAAAAATACCAGAGATACAATATCCTATAGAGAAGAAATAATATAGATTGTTGAACAATTATACCCAAGAAAATAATTCGGTATTTCAGATCCGAATACATCCTGGAGATATCTATATAGGAAATCGCTCAAATATGCTCTGAGTAAAATAAACAATAACAGACTACAGAGAAAAACAACATTAATTCAAAATAACAACAATAATGAATTGGCGATTATGTTGACGTTGATGTGTTGATATACAAAAAGTTGACATTACTAAGCAGTACAACTACAGTCTGCTTAATAATATGTACAAACTATTTACTAGACGTATTACAATAAGACTTTTGACAAACATGAACATAGGCTGAATTTTCTATAGGGACTAATAGAATCAACGACAGTTTGTAGTGTATAAAGGGCGTGTATTGTATAAAGGACGTGTACAGTCTGGAGTACTATAGACTTTATAACCGCAACCATAAGACTCCCCACAGAAAGTGAAACTAAACAATAAGAGGCGTCAAGTAAGGCGATGGCGTATCACCAAAACTTAATGGCCACCTTGGAATACACTTTTAAGATGCTGGATTGCGATGCCTTCTAGATCTGATGTCGGCTGGGTTTGGGGTACTGCTGTGGAACGTGAAGACCCGAAAGAGAGGAATTGTAGAGTAAAACGGTTCTGTTTAGATGTTTTATTCATTTTTTTATGAATTTACTGAATCTACTGATTTATCTTCTTGTTTTTCTTCTTTTGGCATCATAACCCTGGATGGGTCTTTGCCTGTCTGGCTATGTCCTTCCATTCAGATCTCTCTTGTGCCCTTCTGATGATTTACTGTACTTCTACTGATTTATGGCTAGGTATAATTGGGTAATGGGATAGAAAAACCACAGAAAACCGATCCCTCCCTCTCCGTGTGCAAAGCTCGAAAGGGGCTATTTCTCTAAGAGGGCAAAAAGAGAACTTTGAGAAGAATTGATATTATTGTTCTAACAGTAAATTAAATCAATAGAGAGAAGTAAGCATGTACTCGAGTTTAAGAAACAAATGTATTCAGAAGGTTTACCAATATGTAGCCTATGTGCAATAAAAGTACTAGAAAAAATTGCTCACTGAGATATAATATTTAGTGGGCAGAGCAAATCATACTCTCTCATTGCTGTTAAATATCTCTCCCAAACGGTTAATAAGAAGCTTATCGATAGGCCCATTGATACAACATTGGACTTATCATATGTGGACAGTATACACAAAAGATCTTTCAGGTAGCTTCGTGGAAAGGTTCACGAGGCCAGCCAAACTAAGAAATCCAATTTTAAACATTAAAACATAAAACTCAGTCGAATCCATCAATTATTAAAACATAATTTAAAATATTTTTTATAATTAAAGTACCCTTTGAATTACGAACACATGACAATAGCGAGATCATAATTTAAAAATTAAATGATTAGGATTTTAATGTCTTTAGTAAATATTTACTTAAAATTCGTAAATAACGTAAAATATCTACCTACATCTTGACTAAAATGAAGTTTTTGGCGTAAAAAAACTATTAGAATACATCTCATTTTTTCCGTTGTTTTGTGACTGATTTCTCTGACTTTTACTCTCTCTCTCTTGTGGCGTGCATCTTTCTGGATATACAACAAAAGTCCATCTCCAATAATAGCAGCCTCTTTGTTTGTTGAACTGCCAATTTTTACTCTCGTAAAGTACTACCCTTTTAAAATCACTGTTGTAGCCTCGTATTTCTTTCTTTTGAGATCATTTTTGAACATTGCATTAATTGCTTTCTTCCCTTTTAATATGCTCCCGTTATTTCATTTTCTTTTCGTCCATTTTGATCAATATTTGCCGTGAGGTAGATGTATCCTGAACATGGAGAGGCAGTCTTACCATTTTACAAGGTAAGACTGTCGTTTTCCCCATCGAGACCCCATCGTTCGTATTCGGCTTTCAGTCTTTTTGCTATGAATTCTAGATCATCTCGATTTTGTGCGTATCATATGGTTCTTCAGCGAAAAACTAGGTGTATATATATATTAAGGCTTTATTTAAATAGATCTTAAGGAGGGAGTGTTGAGGAGAAACTGCAGTCCTGTCTCAAACCTTTATTTACCATAAAACCCTAGGAAAACTCAGCGCTAATTTTATCCTTGATTGCAGTTTATGGTAAAATCGTTGTATAGCGGTAATCAATGTTATATTAATTGCGGTCTTTCTAAGAGCTTGTCACAGCTTGATAATGAGTTCAGTGTCGTATGTCTTTGTTAAATCCACGACAAACAAATGGGTTTGTCTGTCTCTAACCAGTTTTTTTTTCAATGAGATGTGTTAGTTTAAATGGTCTATACAAGAGCGTCAGTCACGGAAACCTGCCTGTTGTTCCATTTCTACAGGTTGGTATCCTTCTTTGACTAGTCATTTTAGAATTTTCCCGTATAATCTACCACAGGTGCTATAGTTCTTACAGTCCTCAGTCCTTAGCAGTAATCCAGCACTCTTTCCATTTTTTTGGAATACTCTCCATTTATATATCTGTTAAAAAGTTCTGTTAATATCTTTGTAAGTTTGGAGGTCCTATATTTGATTATTTCTGCACAAAATTCTTCTGATCTACAGGCTTTTTTATTTTTTATCGATTTTATTTGATTATTTACTAATTCGTGGCTTAAGAATTTGAGGAGAGATTTCCAACCTTAGATAAAAGATGGAACTTAAAGAAGATTTACTAATCTCTCATTTATGTGTAGTACTAGGCTCTGTACATTATATCTTCTAAGTGAATTATTTATATATTCAACCCTGTGTTCTTAATTATTGCGAGTGGTAACTTTTCCATTTGTCTATTTAGATGATTTGAATATTCTTCCTGTTTTTATCATTTTTCTTTATGTTTATAATAAATCTCCATTCTTTTGGGATCTACTTCCACCTAGGTTAGATTCCACATATCTGTTGCCGGCTTTCCTTTTTGCTTCTCGAGATTACCATTCATTTGTCAATTTTGTCAATTCCACAATGTCCATATATACCTACTGTCTGTAGAGATCTATTAGTGCAATTCTTCAATAATCAGTATTTGGGGATCTTTACAGATACGTTACAGCATAGCTGTATTGTAGTGCAATGTAGTGTCATTTTCCGGAATATGTTATCTTTCAACCATTTTTATTATCTCTTCTACTTTATTTTAATGAGATGGTTAATTTTAAATTTCTCTTCTCAGGCTATCAACAACTTCTGTTTAGAATTATAATGTTTACTTATGACGTCAACAATTTAATAATTCACTAAAACACTTTTCTACCTTATTAGTAATCTGCGTTTTTTATAAATTTTTTTTCTCCTTTCTTACTTTAATGTGAAAGTCTTCTATGGTTTCTTTTGGTTTATTGGTGGTGGGTCCTGTCTTCGTGTCTCCTTTGTCTCGTGAATTCCCTTGTTTCTCGTTCAATTTCCTTGTTTCTCTTTTTTTGTCTTTATTTCGATCCTTAACCTATTTTTTAATTTACCTTTGGCGTTCGAGGTCACAAACCGTTTTCTTTTCTCATATTTTTTACTTATTCCATTCAATTTTTATTTTATTAAATATTTGGTTAATGTTTTCAGTTTTCTTCTTTGTTTCTTGACGACTTTGCTTCTTTTATGTTGTCACTTCTGAAGCATATTTTTGGTTTTTTTCTATTTTTTTAATTTGTTCTTATTGTGCGTATTATATCCGAAAATTTCGTTGTCAACACCTAAAAATAGTTTCCGTAAATAAAAAAAAACTATATCTAACCTATTTTTACAAAACTGATTTTAAAAAACCTAGAAACATCTAAAACTATATAAAAAATATCAATCTCGTTGTTATAAAAATATACTCACTATCGAACGAAACAAATAATTCTGGCATATCTTCCACAGACACCATAGATCTGTAATCTAGTTTTGGTGCAGGCGTTTTTGATTTTGAGCTACTTTCTGTCGGTTGTCTCATGAAAGTTCCTACCGATGAACGCCTGCAAACAAAGTTTATGACATATTAAATAATTTTAATTGTTGTGGCATTTGAGGATCTCGAATAATAATACTGTAACTTTAAAGAAATTTTAATTATAGAATTTTACATGCAATGGGCCTTTTCAATATGTCAAAATGACAAATATGAGAACATAAAATATCACAAATTAAACCGAATTTTATGAAATACAGTTTTATCTTTTTGTTGATATCTAAAATATGTTGCTGTATTGTACGTTCCGTAAAACTTATAAGAAAAAGATAGAAATGGCAAGACAGAAATACCTTAAAACACGTTGTTTGATTTGTTTATTTTCATCATATTAGTTATTGTAAAAGTTAAGATGGACGTAGACACTATAGAACCTGTAGTTAGTTATCAATAAAAACGGCTATTACTTAATATAAATTTATGTTAAACAAAGGGGATGGAATCGGATTTAAAGCCAAGCCATCAAACGTTATGTTGCATCTCACTACTAAATCCATCGTTCGGAACCAGACCTAAACCAGAGTGGTCTAGATCAAGAATTTCATGTTACGCGCTTTGTGGGTATATATTAAATCAGTTCTAGATTGCTGCAAAATATGACTGCATCCATCCACCCACAGATGTCGCTGCTGTAATACATACAATACTATCAAATGATACGACGGTTGCCATTCTAAGGCAAAATGTTCGAAGTCTGGCTTCTGATCATTCCGCGATGTTCTATTAACCCTGTGTTAAAAATAAACTCTAATTAAAAAAAAGAATAACGAAAAATCTCAAAAAAAACCCCACTGTACCGTTAAATTTTGTTTTTTTTTTGATATAATTTTATGACTAATTATTTTGAATAAACAAATAATAGTTGAATCGTGAATTTGAGTTTAGGGCATTTATTTTAGAACTTCATCGAAGGCGTTAACTGATGATAAATTGCGCGCTGTAGTAGAAGATCCAGAATTTTATAACTAGGACGTAGACAGTAATGCAGATACGGACGAATTTATACCTAGTGATCACGACAATTCGTTGGCAGCGTCTCTGGAAAGTGATAATTCAGAAGATGAAGCTGAAAATAGACCGACAAAAAATGATGATGGGTGGGAGTGTATGTATTAAGCTGATAAATATTATTTTGGCAAAAAAAAACTGCTATGTGGTCAAAAGAATCATCTTAGGTAACTCGTACAAGTGCTCATAATATAGTTCTTTTATTACTTGGTACAAAAATAGAAAGTAAAAAATATTGATCCATCCGATATACTCTCATGTCAGTTATTTGTCTCAAACGAATTTTTACAAATACTTTTGATGCGTACCAACCAATTTCGAGACTTCATTATAAATCTCCTCAACCGACGTTTACCAAATCCCTGGCTATTATCGAATTAAGAGCTTTTATTGGATTGCTGTATTTATCTGGTGTAAGGGAAGCTAACCACGAAAATATTTCGGGACTTTTTGCTGAGGATGGCACAGGTCGTAACATTTTCCGTGCAACTATGAGTGCTCATTGATTTATGTTTATATTGTCTTCTTTGAGGTTTGATTTACTACTAGAGAAGCTAGAAAGTTTAACGACTGTTTAGCTGCAGCGAGGGGGATCTTTTTATATCCAATGTACAAACGTACACACCCGGTGTTAATCTTACCATGGGTGAGATGTTGGTTCCTTTTCGCGGTAAATGCAGGTTTCGAATGTACATGCCTAATATTTCTGCAAAATATGATTTAAAAATATTGTGCTTATGCGACTCCAGAACTTTCTACATATATAATGTGTTTGTGTAAATAGGCAGGGATGATACAACTGACAGAACATTATCAATTCCAACTCAAACTGTTCTAAAACTTATAACACCAATCGAAAGTACAAAAATAGAAATATTACTTGCGATAATTGGTTCATAATGAACTGAAAGCGAGAAGTTTGACACTTGTAAGGACTTTGAAGCAAAATAAGCCTCAAATTCCTCCTGAAGTTAAGAAAATACAAAAAGGAGCAGTTTCCTCTGCAATTTTTGGACAATGAAAATATAAATATTTGTTTTAATGTGCCCAAGAGAAATCGTTTTGTAGTATTGCTCTTCACGATGCATCAAGATCAGAAAATTGATGAGACCACAAATAAAACCAATATTATTAGATCAACTGTGTACTTATTATACAGTTTCATGAAGAACTTGTCGTTGGCCAATGACAATTTTCAACACAATTCTAAATATAGTAAGCATCAATGCTATGATCAGATTTAAATGCAATAAAAAAGTCGATTACGTAAACGATATAGCACCAAGAACTATTTTAAAACCTCTTGTTTTAAAAAATAATTACAAAAAGATACTTATCCCGCAGGTTTAAAACTACACTTAAATCTAAATGGGTTAAATGCCTTTTAGAAACTTTTCTTATCTTTTCCCACAAGTAGAAGTTTTTCATATACATGATTGAGACCTGAATTCAAAACTGCAATGACAAAAACTTTGTCATTGGCCAGACAGATAACGGCAGCATTGTTTCAAGGTTCTAAGTTTTCATCAAGCAGCTTTTTTAAAATTCATTTTACAACACGATTTAGTAAATACATTTTAAGAAAAAGAAGAAAAAATAATTAAGAAGTTAGAATTAATATGAGCACATATGCTTGGTTGTATAGTAACTTCCTGCCACGTCCAGTAACCACCGTCCACGGTCCACTAAATTTATGGGGCAGTTGGATCCAAGTTCAGTAATTAGAGTATAACTAAATGTTTTTGAAACAGTAGAAAAGGCCCAGTGCTTTGTATATGAATTAAACACTATAAGTTCGCAAAATTTTTCATTAAAAGTTAAAAACTATTATATCTCTATAAACCTTATAAACCCATAAAATGTTTCTTTAAAGTTTTTAAAATTCTACACGATATATCACTACTAGCACATAGTTATTTGTTAAAGGTATATACAACGACAAATAATAATTAAGAATAAAAGAAATGCGGCTTGCTGTCCTGGCTCACTAAATACTAAGAGTATTATTAGCTAAAAAGCAAAGAGGTGTATTTAGTGTGTGTGTTTCGTGGTGTGTATAAGGAAACATTTAAATTATTATTTCATTTTGAAGAAAAAAAAATGACAATTACTGAATTGTTGATAACAGTTGTAAGATTTCTTTGAAAAGTTTATATTGATAATTTATTTATATTGATAGTTATGTTCTCCTTCAGAGTTCATCTTCATCCTCCTGCTAAATTTCGCAAAAAGAAGGTTTAAATTCTGTAGTTAGTTTTTTCCATTTTATTTTTGATTTTATTCCATGGGCACCTGGCGAATCCTATACCGGGTGGTGCATCGTCAAACGGGCCATAGGAAATTCAATGGGAAATTTTAAATTGTTGAATTGCTGCTTCCCTAATTATTTTAGATCAAAAGTCATAAAAAACTATTTGTAGAGGACTAAATTCTGAATTAAAAACAAATGTTAAAACCGTTCTACGAATCAAATGTACTTCAAAATTTTGCAAAAATATAATAGATTTTTCAGACCACCCCTAAAAGTTAGGCCACACGTATTACAAGAATATATTATAACGTGTGTGTTTTATCATATTAATGCCAGATGTTTGACAATTTGAATTGTCATTTTTTTTATTTTATGATTAAATTATAAACAATGAATTTTACTAAATACTATTACTACTGAACAATATTACTTTGTGAACAATAAATTATATTGTTTACAAATCGATCAATATAATGAAATGTACTCACTTGACGAAAAATTGCATAATGTTGTATTCAGGCAATAGCGCGAACCTTTTCCTGTCACTACCGGATCTTTATTTAACGTCAGATATTATAATACACTAAAATTTAATTCCATGTTAACTTATACAACAATTCAATGAATTCCAATATACTGTTACTGTGATCTTTATTCCTAATATTAATATATGATAATTTCTAAACATAAAACTATAACAAATGTTATAATAAAACATGAATAAAACATTTTTATTATTGCTCTTTTCTCCTTAACTGAGTACATTTTTTAATCAACTTAATTTTTCTTTTAAATAATAAATCACAAAATTTTAGCCATTTAAATCATAGATAAATATAATATAGTTTATTTAAATATTGTCAATTATTAGAAACGTCAATATGACAAAACGCAACACGTAATACACATTCTTTTCACGGCGTCTGGCCTGGCTTTTAGGGGTGGCTTGAAAAATGTATTATATTTTACCAAAATTTTGGAATACTTTTAAGTCGTAGAACAATGTTAACAATTGTTTTCGATACATATTTGAGTCCTCTACAAATAGTTTCCCATGACTTTTGGTGTAAAATAATTAGGGAAGCAGGAATTCAACAATTTAGAATTTCTCATTGAGTTTCCTATGGCCCGTTTGACCACCACCCTGTATATAACTAGTATGCAGACATTGCATTTAATGTAAAAGATTTAGATGTTTTTTTGTCATTTTTAATACGTTTAGTGCATTTAAAACACATCTGTACTACCTAATGTCAGGTAACCATACCAAAGATAATTATATTAAGGAATAGTATGTTGAAAGCCAGGGTGAACGTGTAATATATTTTACTACGTTTTCAATATTTACTTTACCAGTTCAAACTATGATCATTTACAACTCTCAGTGAGCACAACTTGTGCACCTATGCACTAGTCTAAGTGAATTAAATAAAATTTGATTCGGAGTCGAATCTATGTAAAGGTTTTACCTGTAGAACGTATCATAATATCCCCTCTACTAGTGGGGATTTCATCATACAGATTTCATCATCTGTAATTTTGGGAATAATAGTTTAAAAATGTTAAGAATATTGATATAATTATATTATCATAAGAACATGCAACTGATTTATGTTGATGTCAAAAAATTTTTCTTCAAAACGTTTACAAAAGTAGCATAATATTAAACACGAATCGTGCAAAGTAGGATCCACCTAGACACACACACGTACCCTACGGCGCCAACCGAAGCACCAACTTGGGCTCCCATAGCGCCCACCGTAGCCCCCATAGCTCCAACTGACGCGCCGACTTGTGCACCCATAGCTCCAACTGAAGCGCCTACTTGCGCACCCATAGCTCCGACCGAAGCACCAACTTGCGCACCCATAGCTCCCACCGAACTGATTATGTTAGTGGGGAAAAAGCTGCTAGAAGTCGAGTCGCCTGTTAGTGGACCGCCACTGCCTCCAGAGTGAGGGCCTGCTGAGCCGCCGGACCCGCTGTCCTCTGACGGGGTCTTGTGAAACAACCCCGTGCCGAAGTCCACGAGATGTATCGGTGAGCTGAGTAAGCATTAGCGGGCAAAATTTTTGTTAGACTGATTAGCACAAACAACAATTATTTAATGTAACATTACCTGATAATATTTTGTTTCTACTAATTATAAAAATTTACAACGAATATGAACATTTACACTGTTTTCATCTTTTTATTACGACTTAGAATGAAAAGGTGGATGATTGCTGGTAAGAACAGAATGGAATGAGTTGAGTGACACGATACCGCGTTATTTTAAGGGGTGTAAGCACCAAGAAGTAAAGGAACAGTATATGTAATAGTTTCTATTCAGGAAATACGTAATCAGTGTTTTTCTGTTTCCTTTCGACTTACGATGTTCATGTTTTCCTATATTTGTCACAACGATTGGTAATTCTCTTAAATATTCTCGATATGTACTCCATATGGTTTCATGCATACACTAGTATATAAAAGAAAAGCATGTCCAAATAATTGTTCAAATAAAGATTGACGGCAGATGTTCCTGAAGAAGAATCCCTTTGCTTGGTAACTTGCGAAAATTATTTAGAATAAAGCCAAGCGAATTTTCGTAGTGCAACGAACAAAGTATGTGTTGCAGAGATCCATACAGTGGATTTTCTGATGGTCCGTCCTGAACACCAGGTACCTCGCACACCATCTCCGACACATTAGTTTTCGGTGATCCCAGAAATCCCTGAGAAACGAGTGTGCACTAATTTGGATATGTAAATTTCCACAAAACTCTAGAAGACGAGGGCCAGGAGCACCAGGTGCCTCGTAGACCATCGCCGTCATGATATTCGTATTATGTGATCCCAAAAACTCCCAGTATTAATATTGAACTAATTTTCGTCAATTGTTTCCATTCACTTAGCTGCAAAAAAAATTTTTTTGAAGCTCAGTCTAAATCCAGTTCGTCACATTATACATACCTACATAGTTTCTAATATAAGTAAATACTCATTTAACATAATAATTATGACAGTAAATAAAAAAAAAACGTATTTAAATATATCCAGGTAAAGTTACAATATAAACTGTTGCGTGAAAGAAATATCTTAGGAGCTAATATCAAAGAAGTGTTGTATACAAACCTTGAAAATACTTTTGAGAAAACTGAAGAATGTTGAACGTCAGCTGCTGAATGGGGTTGACTAGGAGGTTTATCTTCATCTTTGTCTCCGCCGAGAGTAGTTTCGACCCACGACAGGGGATATGACAGTCTTTTTAACATCTAAAAGAATAACCATTTAAGAAATATAGTAATAATACACATTATACAATATGATCAATAGCTTAATCTAGTATTAACCTAATCTATAACCACATAATAAAACTGATTGATAACCAAAAAATAATGTCGCATAAAAATAATGTAACATACACCACGCACGACATAAGTAAAGTTTCTAATAAATTGTATATAAAATGCATATTACTTTAAATAACTTATTTTCATGCCCAACTGTGCCACCCTGGACACTTAATACTTCGACTATTATTACTACTCTTACAGCTTACTTAAACAATGTCACAAATCCTAGCATCATTAATATCTTATAATATTAAGAAATTCTAACAAAATATTAAACTACAATAAGATTTTATCGACACATCGAGAACCGAGAATGATCATGCCGCTGCCTTTTTGATAAAAGATACGGAATATAATGTACGACTGTACTGTACTACCTATATTTTGCAGGATATTTACTGAAGAAGCTATTGCAATTTTAATAGCACTCAAATAATGCAAAAAATTCTATGTGGAATAAATATTTCCGTAATATTTATTCCACATAGAAAAATCTCTTGACGAAAATGAGGAATTAAAAAACTAAAATGTTCCAAACGTCATGTCATCGAAATATCCCGAATTGTCTCGTGCGGTTTGGAATGTGAAAAAATTTATATAAACAAGAAGTTATCAAGTAGCATTAGTAATTGAGTGTTTACTATTTACTGAAGTATTGTAATATTGTTTACTGTTTTCAATAACAGTGATTAACATTGGTAACAATGGTGGGATAAAAAAAATTAAGAAATTGTTAATGTTTAATAAAAGATCTACCGAATTTGATAAAAGAAACCGATACGTACGTATCGCCGCATGGTTTTTAAAACAAGAAAAGCACGCGGTGAAGAAGAAGCGTAAACAAGAAGAGAAAAAGGTGAAGAAGAACCATAGGGAAAAAAGTAGAAAAGAAAAAGCGAAGACAACAAAAGAAAGGGAAAAGGGAGACGCGCAGGCTAGAGGAGGAAGTGTTTAAGAAGAAGACAAGTAGAGGAAGAGAAAAAGGAGAAGCATAGACAAGAAGAGGAAAGAGTGAAGGAGAAGCGTAAACAAGAAGAGAAAAACGAAAATCGTAGGGTGAAAAAGAAGAGTAGATAAGAAGAATAAGGAAAAAGTAGGAGAGGTGTAGAAAAGTATAGCAAGAAATCATAAATAGTTCAAATCTCAATATCTCAAATTCACGAAAATTTTAAGTTAAGAGCAAGTCACATTACTACTAGAATAGAAAACTAGAAGATCAAAACTATTTAGAACAACAAAACAATTTAAACCATAATTTAGAAAGACAAATAGTTAAGATAGAAAAAAATTAGCACCCAAGCTTCTGTGTCTTATGTTGTGTCAGTAACTAATGCCTAACCCTTATACAGCCAGTGTTGACATATGGATCGGAGACATGGACCATCTCCAAGGCAGACGAAGACCTTCTGCTTATATTTGAACGAAGGATCCTGAGAGGAATATTTGGTGGCATCTGTGAAAGTGGTGTTTGGAAGAGGAGATACAACTACGAAGTATACCACAGATATAAACAAATATTTGGTGGTGAAGACGTAGTATCTCTTATAAGAATAGGAAGATTAAGATGGGCAGGACATCTAGCAAGATCACAGCAGAACAACCCTCCTAGAAGAATCTTTATGTCACAACCCGTGGGAAGTAGAAAAAGGGGTATGCCAAAACTCAGATGGAAGGATGGTGTAGATGAGGATGGTAGAAAGATAGGCGCAGCAAACTGGCAACGGTTGGCAATGGATAGGACTGCCTGGCGTAATAGACTTGGGAAGGTCGAGGCTCTTTCATAGGGCTGTAGCACCATTGATGATGATGAACTAATGCCCAATCTGAACAAACAGCCTCATCATCTTCCATAGCTGAACTAGACACAATTAAAACTAGCAAAACTTTGAAACGCCCACATCCGATGGTCAAATAGCAAGGGACACTTATTGTTTTCAATTTGAAGCTGTAGCTGTAGCAAATGGCTGGAATGAGAAAGAAATGGCTTCTTTGGTTGTGTCGCTTCGAGGATAGGCAGCAACCGTCTTGCAATTTCTTTCCCAGGATGCACCCAGTTATACATCCCTCATTCAAGCTTTACAGGCAACACATCGCCAGCAGCATATAAAAGTAGGATTTCAAAACCCAGCTGAAAGTTCGTTATCAAAAACATAACGAAGAATTTGAAGCCCATATCAAAAGATTATTGCATTTGGCATACTATGAGGCACCTAAATATTTTCTGGAACAAATTGGCATACAGGCATTCATAAGCACTAATGTTAGCCCATATGCGAAAAGTATTTCCACAAGATTTCAAGGAAATGAAAGTCATTACCGCAAATAAACTGAAAACAGAAGATGTTTTAATTATGGGTGCATAGGACATTTACAAAATATTTGCAGAACCAGATCCCACCAAAGGAAAGATAAGTCAAAGAATGAGGTCAGAAAGTCGCATAGATCGATATCCAGAAGCCCGTCACAAACTTCCACTAGAAATAATAGTAGATATAAAGTCTCTAAGAAATCGATCTTCTATAACTGACCACCGACATTTAAACAATGATGGAGAAAACATTGATATTTTTTCTAGGCGACCCTGTTTAGAACAACAATACCAATCTTGATGATCAGATGATGAGACTAAATGATCACAGTTAAAAAAGAAGAAAATAATTATTAGACTTCTCTGGAAAGCCTTAAAAATGGAGTAAGGCCTATTTAGCAGAAAATAGAATAAAACCATGAAGGTGTACTGGGCTCAGTGGGAATCTTTGTATCTTTCCAGTAATCTATTAAATCGAAAGTGGGAAAGTCCCGATGTAGTAAGTACAGTTCAACAATTGGTACTGCCAAATGTGTGTTGCAAGAACTTCATAGAGGACTTTCTGGATGACAGTTTACAGTCAAAAGAACATTTGCTAGAGTTCGAGACAGATTTTACTGGATCAAATGTCACCGAGATGTAGAAAATTGGTGCAAGAAATGCGATTTATGTCACGGTAGAAATTATTCTAGAACAACAAATGTTGCAATGGATTATTTTTTAAAGTGGCCTGAAATTGTACCCCTTCCTAATCAAGAAGAGAAATAAAGCTAGCCTCAAGACCTTATTTTTGGAAGATAGTCCCCCGTGAAGAACATTCATCCCTGAAATAGATAAAAAATTTGAATGAAAAATTGTAAAAAGTCTACAAATTTGTTCGTAAAAGTTTTAGCTTTGAAGTTTTAAAGTTATAAATCCATGACCAGACTCGACATGCATGTTACCAGGACAATTTTCGAAAGAGGTGACCCGGTATAGTTATACAATCCAATACGCAAGAAATAACTTTATCGGAAACTTTAACAAACATTTTACACCCTCCTGCAGAAAATAAAACGATCTAAGCTACCGCATCCAGTTTTAGGTTAGAAGTAAACTTAAGTTACTTTATATCAAGAGATTACCTTCATACCATGGAACTGATCTATACTGATGGCTTCAGTCGGTCCCTGATAGACCCGTTATTCGAGGCGAATAACTATAAAGGCAGAAGCAGCGTTACGACAGATCCGTAAGATTTATTCCACATAGACAAAGACTCTTGACCAAAAAGAAGAATTCAAAATCTAGAATGTTCTAGACGTCATCAAAATGTCTCGAAATGTCTAGTAAGGTTTGGAACGTCAGAAAATGTAAACTAATTCAGTTCGAGTTCAAGTATTGTAATATTGTTTGCTGTTTTAATAAAAGTGCTTAGAAAGAAGCGTAACGTTATAGTGAAGACAATCAGCAACACCGTATGATTAGAAATAATATGAAGTTTTACCTTATTTTTTCTACTATCAGCCTTATCTACATCTTCTTTTGACTCAGTGTAACTAACTGACAGTGGAGGTTGGCCAGCGTCGAGATCCGAGCTAGAATCCAAACTAAATGACACCGAGTTCGTCTTCTTTCTCGCTGGGCTATCTGTTGGTTCACTGGTATAACTCAAATTGGTCGCTGCAATTGTGATTGGCGGTACCCAATCTTTGGAAAGTACTATATCAGCATCGCTATATTTCTAAAAAATCAAAAAGATGTGAGTTCTCCGTGCATTCAGCTAATTAAACATTTATAAAATTAGATAAACAAAATTAAAAAATTTAAATAGTGCATTCTTCTGTCATCAGTGCAAAGTTGGTGTAAATTATTAGGTTAATAGTTCGAATCACTCGATAGCAAGTGAAATATTTGAAAGGCAGCAGTTCAAACCCCAAAGAAAATGCGGCTGTAAATTGGAAGTTATAAATAAAATACGGTCGACTGATGGATGAGTACGATGAGAGTTAGAATGTCAGGTCTCAATAAATGCGGATTCAGTGATCCTTACTGGAGGCGTTAAAACACAAGAAAACCGAAATACAATTTTCTCTGAAAGCCGTCTGTTCTATACCAGTTATACTGCACGCAAGTGGTTTATTGTACATCTTCCATTAACTATTCAGATCTGCTATATACAAGATCTCCACCAACACCCAACGGACCCTTTTCTTGGCTCTGGTATATCCAGAGCCCTTATATCAATATAACATCCAACCTTGTCATAGCAAGAATGAAAGACTTGAATTTCAAACGAAAAGACATACTGTGAGTGTTTGTTTATACAGTCTTAATTGCGCCGAATAAAGCTTTCACTGCAATAACTGCGTCTTAAAAGTGTCGATTGGAATAATATGTACATTAAAAAAAAGACGATGCGGCTGGAGATCGAAAGCTACGGTTTGTTAGAACAGTGCGCAGCGCACAGCAGAATCTGCTGTACTCGACTCACGGCAGTTTTGGGTGTTAGATTATTTCGCATAAACATTCTGTCGCTTTGAAAACTAATATTAAATTATTAAAAAATAAATTAAAATTAAAATTATTAAAACTAATATTCAATAAATAATCTTTATAGAAAATAAAAAGTCTTGAGATTTGACATTTCAACTTTTGTTTGGAAAGTAATGAAAACAATATGACAAATGTGACGTCACACTCCGACTGACCATTATAATTTCGGTATAGATGTGTACGCTGTCAGCTCAGCTGAACGTTTGCGTCCAAAAAAATCGCAGTTGATTCCAGCGCACACCGTCGACGTACACGGCTATCGGTCTGCTGTGCGCGTAGCTCAGCAGAACCTAAAAAACCGTTATCATAGAGAACCATTTCTTTGATTTTGACAAACGTGCGCGACGTTCGACTAACTGTGAGTTATGCGGCGTTCGACTGACTGTGAGTTATGCGTCGCTCACTGTTCTAACAGACCATAACTGAAGGTTGTGTGAATTATCATCGCAGAGACGAATTTTTGAATACATTTCCGGCTTAGATCTTAAGGGGATCAGGCGGTACTCGCTTTTAGCGATACGGGCGATGTTTTTTGGCTATCATGTAGTTCCTGGCAGTAGTGATATTAATAATAGCAGTCAATAATGATATGCACTAAATAGCATGAAATACTACGTTGCAAACCAGCAAGGAATTAAGTTTTAAGTTAGTGCAAATTAGTTCATCTTTAATGGTGGTGAAAGCCCAAATGCACCGTAAGTTTGTACCTTTTTTCTATAAATTGCCAAGGCAGTTTAAATTGCAATGCTGAATATTTTCTGATAGAAAATCGATAAAAAAAGGAAACAATCTGTCATTATTTTGATTTTTTTCTTCTACATGAACCATTGCTGTGCGATGTGTTTTTTTAAGGGGTACATCCCTTAATTAGTTTTACATGTTTTATATAAACAGTGGGGCGTGAAAGTTAATGGAATTCTGATAAATACAATCAGATATGCAGACGATACAGTTATTTTAAGTGATGACGTGAATGGACTATAATGCCTTTTAAATGCCATTGATACAGTGGGAAGAGAGTTTGGCCTAAACATAAACTGTTCAAAAACAAAACACATGGTGTTTAGCCGTTTAGCACATCAAGATGCACGATTATATATGTTGATGGTCATATAATTCAAAGAGTGTCCAGTTTTATTTATCTTGGTTGCCATATTTCTGAACAACTAGATTCAGATCAAGAGATAAAATGTAGAATCAAGATAGCCCGCACGACATTTTTAAAAATGAGGTCATTCTTCTGTAATGATAACTTGCAACTTCAGCTTACGGCACATAGTAGTAAGTGCCGTAAGGCTTCCCTTACTATGACACGTAGTAAGGGGAGACCGATATAATATTCTTCAACTTATTATGATGGGTAAAATCGAAGGACGTAGAGGAATTGGTAGAAAGCAGGCCTCTTGGTTGAAGAATATCAGGGAATGGACAGGAATAAGGAAAGCTGAGCAACTCTTTAGAATAGCTCGAGACAGAGACAGTTTCGCCATGTTAATCGCCAACGTCAAGGGGACTTGATAGGACACGTTAAGAAGAAGATATAAACAGTAAGATAACCTATAATAATAACTTGATCGACATCCTCGAGATGGGTATCACTATTACTTATTCTGCACCCCTAAATAGGTCTTCGACCGCCCTTAGCATTTTTCGTCATTCAATTATATTGATTAACAACCGATACCAAGTTTCTTAAAATCGTAAGACATTGTGATCGTGCTATATATTCTCGGCCTTATAACTTTTATAAAAGATATGTATTTTTTAAATACGTTTCACAGATGCCAAAAAATATTCCTATCAGAATTATTTGTTTAAAGACGAGTAAAAGATTATTTGGTCTTTGGGTTGGTAGACAAAATTTTATCAAGGAGAGTAGAAAGGGTTTCGCAAAATGGTACTCACGAGACAAAATTCGTACAGTACTTTCGCATGTCGAATTGTGATTTCCTTAATTTGCTGTCTCAGATTAAAGACGACATAACGAAGATGGACACCATTATTAGAGTATTATTTTCAGTGTTAAGGAGCGTTCCCTTCTTCTTCTTCAGTGCCTTATCCGGTCCGGATATTGGTGATCATCAAGGCTATCATGGTTTTGTTGACTGCTCTGCGAAACAGCTCCGCTGAGGTCATCCCAAACCATTGTCGGAGATTTTTCAACCACGAGATACGACGGCGTCCGGTCCTCTTCTGCCAAATACTTTACCCTGCAAATTTAATTTTTCTTCGTTCCGCATCACGTGGCCGAGGTACTCAAGCTTACGTTGTTTAATTAAATTAAGCACTTCTTTTTCTTTTGTCATGCGCTGTAGGACCTCAACGTTGGTGACATGGTCCCCATAAGATATTTTTAGTATCCTTCTGTATATCCACAGAAGGAGCGTTCCCAGATATACAAATTCGTTCACTACTTCGATGACGTCGTTTTCTATAACACATGGTCGTAGGATATGTGGTTACCTGCTTATTTTCGTATTTATATATTTATATCATCAGAATAGGCAAAAATTTGCACTAATTTATTATATATTGAACCAATGGTTGTGATTTGTGATATACGGATTACTTTTTCCAGAGTTGTCAAGTAACGAAAATATGATGCACCCGAAAACAGGTAGCTGACTGACTGTATCCTAAGTCCTATTCACATCAACCCGGCAATCCGGTCCAGTCAAGATCAAGTCACAATCTCGACGGAGCGACAAGTCGGGCAGTGATCTTGACTGTACCGTGACTGTGATTGTGTCGTGCCCGTGCGTGGAAATTACCTCATTGGAAAACGACAGAAGCAATCTTGACTGTACCGTCTCTGACTATGACGTGACTGTTGGTCTGAGTAGATCTAATTCGCAGTTTTCGCTCCCGTACTAAGCTTCTAAATACCTGGCATACTCTAAGGAGCAAGCATACTACTGGAACGGCTAGTAGTAATATTTCACGAAAGAAAAAAGAGAAATAATACGATTTCTACCTGGCGAAATCGAATTCAATAGGCCGCCGTGCTCCCTAAAACTTGCGAAGCAAACAGCTTGATGAATGAATCGGCAAGGGAGTCTAAAAATTGTACTCCAAATGCCGTTCATCATGGCCTATATTCGTAGTGAATTCGATTTCTGGTACTCCAAATGGAGTAAATAAACAAAACAAAATGACGGTATTAGATTTTAATTTGATACAGAGCAGCAACAAGCCGCATATACGTATTTTGATCTCTTTAGATCTCTTCAGTACGGTATAGTTACTACTACTCCATGGAGTAGTAGTAACTATACCGTACGATTTGATACAGAGCAGCAACAAGCCGCATATACGTATTTTGATCTCTTTAGATCTCCTCAGTACGGTATAGTTACTACTACTCCATGGAGTATAGTTACTACTACTCCATGGAGTAGTAGTACTCCAGTACGGTATAGTTACTACTACTCCATGGAGTAGTAGTAACTATACCGTACTAAGGAGATCTAAAGAGATCAAAATACGTATATGCGGCTTGTTGCTGCTCTGTATCAAATCAAAATCTAATACCGTCATTTTGTTTTGATTTCACGAAAGCTCTACGACTCGTGTGCGTTTGCCTAAGTGTTATTATGGTGTTATTTTCGGTTTTGGTTTCGGCTTTTTCCCCATATTTTACAAACTCACCTTTTCTTGAGACAGAAAAAAATGTAAAAATGTCCTTTAACTTATGTCTCGTACCGACAGATCACCAGCGTACGCTATAATGTGCAATCGAAAAGAAATAGAAAAAATCACAACTATTAAAGTAAAAAAGCAACACGGTGCCTTCAGATCACAATGTCTAAGAAAAATGTCGTTTAGAAAATTAATTAACTAATTTTAGAATAGTTTAAGTAAACCTTATCTAAACTACCAGTCGATGAAAACTGAATATATATTTACCTTTTTTGGAGGAACATGTACAATTGGTGGTATACTTGATTCTCTAATATCAATACCGGAATCGTGACAACTCTCTTTATTTAGGCTATCATCTTCGTCTTGAATGTGATCATCGGGGGCGCCAGTTGGAGTTATGGCTGGCATTTCATCTGTATCTATAGACCTAAAATAAAATAAATAATAAATCTACTATATCTACATAAAACTACATCTTCTACAATGCAAACTTCAGCGTTTATTCATTCATTCATTAAACTTTACAATCACTTTACAATACTTTTCTTCGTCATTTTAATTTTTTTCAAATAGAAGTTCTATCAGGATCAGTTTGTTTACGATTCTCTTTCTTACCGAAATGCCGCTAGTGGCGCTAATGGTAGAGTTGCCAGAAATATCGTTAACTGTCTAATAATTGTGGATTTTTTAACGTATTTTTTAGAATTGATATTAATTGTTGCAAAAATCATGCAATTTATTATTTTCTGACATATAATTGCGACAAACCACTAACACGTAATGTTTTAGAAGAATATTTTTCGAGAAATAAGAGACTACGAATATTTCATTTATAAATCAAATAGAGATAATTTAAAACGTGCTAATCTAATTTTCTTCCTAAAAACTTTTAAAGACAACATTCATGAAAGCATTAAAATTAATTCAAGCACTTAACAAGCAAGTGGTATGTTCGGACCTACTGTGGGCCACTCGTGGAGCCATATTTTCTTATATGCTGCTAGAATATCATCAACTCTTAATACCTTATCCTTCTCTGCTCTCACCTCTCTTATTAAACGCAGATTTGACTGTTATATCTTCTAATCAAATCTCTACTCCTTCCATGATGAAATAAAACTTTTCCAAAAGTAAACCTAAGTAACTAACTATTCAAAGCACACTCGTTTATTATTATTGATAATGAATCCTGCTTTGATCGGATAATATATATGGTGACAGTTAGTACAATGACAACGTTAATTGCGCTGTCACGTATGTGAAAAATGCCCTTCCTTAGTACCTGGATCCTTCCATTAAATTGCAACATTAAGAGAGTCGAGCTTTTGGGAATACTTCACGCCATTAACTCACTGATATCAAGGCACGGTTCTTCATATATCTGCTCTGACTTTAACATAATTGAACTAGATCAAACATATTTAAACCAGGTATTAGTTTTGGGTGTGTTACGTGAAATAACGAGATTCGTTATTTGGCGTTAGTAATCTTCTGGGGAGTGAACGTGAGTAATGGAATGTGAGCGTGATAAGCGATTCAACGCTTCTCATTGCATCAGTTGTTGCGGTTTAGATTACGGGACCACTCTCCCTAATCAAACGTAGTCGCATAACCTTCCATGGGTTTCATGTGGCGCTTAAGACTTCCATGGGTTTCATGTGGCGCTTTATGAAAGATATAAATTTCTTAAACATAAAAATGCAGAAAATGGTGTTTGAATCGATAGAGTTAAAGGAATTAAATTCATTAAAAGTGATATTCGACTTACTGTCTATCCCTTGACGGTATCGCCCAATGGTGGTCCAGCAGAGATTTTCTTCTTTCTTCTAAAGATTTATGCTGACTTTCTGGATCTTCTAAATTAGTAGGCGTAACCAATTCCCTTTCAAATGCTTTTGGAAATGCGTCACCTTCTCTCTCGGTACAGGAACACACAGACTCAGCATCATCGCCTGTGACTGCATAAAACATATAATTACAATAAATTCGTGATTATGAATGTATGCTAATAATCATAATACTAAAAATGATACAGATTTAATTCTTATGTTATGCAAATCGGAGAATATAGGTGGAGACGTTGATACGGCTGTTGCCAAACATTGGAGGTCCAGGAAGCATCAAAAGAAAGGTGCTAACTGGAGTTTTTCAGTCGGTGGTAACCTAAGCTCCCCATGTGTGGTGTAGTGTACTCAACACTGCAAAATACGCTAAGTGAATGGAGACTTCGCAAAGAAGAATGCTCCTCAGGGTATCTAGCGCATATAAGACAGCTTCAAATGAGGCTCTATATGTTATTGGAGCGGTGATACCGATCGTTTTGTTGTGTAAAGAGCGAGCGAGGATGTATGCGAGGAGGATGGATATAAACATAGATGAAAATAAGAGAGAAAGAACGATAATAGAGTGCCAGAGAGAATTGGCGAATGATAGTTCAAAGGCAAGGTGGACGAAGGAGCTTATTCCCGATCTGAGACAGTGTTGGGAATGGAAGTTCAGGAAACTAGACTACTTCCTGACGCAGTTTCTGACCGGATATGGTAGTTTTGGCATCTTCACAAATTGGCAATACTTGTTAAATAGCTTTTTTTATAAATAAAACAAAAGAATGATCCCAAAACCACAGATATCATTTACAACATATAAACTTGGATATTCAAATATTGAGTTCCAGATATAATAATAGTCAGTGTTTCATACAGTAGAATTAAAACCTATGACACTCTATGGAGCACAAACTTGGATCCTTGGATTCAAAGAAGATTAAGCTCCGTAGATTGGAGAAAAAATTTTTTAAGAAATGTATCATCATCATCATTAGCCATTTTGCGTCCACTGCTGAACATAGGCCTCCCGTAAATAATTCCATTGCATCCGATCTTGAGCAACTTGAATCCAGTTAGACTGGATGCGCTTTAAATCGTCCGACCACCTTGTTGGAGGACGTCCTCGACTACGATAAGCATCGTGTCTAGGCCTCCACTCTAAAATTTTCTTTGTCCATCTTCCATCTCTGACCCTAGCAACATGTCCTGCCCAGTTCCATTTCAGGGTTGTAATTCTTTCAACTGCGTCCGTCACACCAGTTTTTCTCCTTACTATCTGACTCGAAACTCTGTCCCTGAGTGATACGCCCAACATTGACCTCTCCATCGCTCTCTGTGCCACTTGTATCTTATTAATTACTTTTCTGGTAAGTGTCAATGTTTCTGCTCCATATGTCAGAACTGGAAGTACACACTGATCAAAAACTTTTCTCTTCAAGCACATGGGAATAGCTGATTTAAAGACTTCCCTCAGTTTTCCGTAAGCTGCCCATGCCAGTCCTATTCTCCTTTTTAACTCTGTTGTTTGATTGTCTCTTCCCAATTTAATCTCGTGGCCCAGATACTTATAGGAATACACTTGTTCAATTTGCGTGCCATTAGTGGAAATGTTTTTTGCCAGTACCAGGTTGGTCATGTATTGTGTTTTGGAAAAATTAATTTTAAGGCCAACTCGTGCACAAGAGCTCTGAAGGTCTTGAAGAAGTTGGCATGCATGATCTACCTGATCTGCAATAAGGACTATGTCGTCTGCAAACCTCAAGTTGTTCAAAAATTCCCCATTTATATTTAATCCAATATTTTCCCAATTATTTTTTCTCATAGCACTCTGTAATAGGGCGGTAAATAGTTTAGGAGAGATAGTGTCTCCTTGCCTAATACCTTTCTCCAAGGGAAATGTGTCTGTGTCACCATAGTACATTTTTACAGCAGCTGTTGCGCTATCATATATATTTCGAAGAAGAGTTGTGTACCTATGGTCAATACTGCACTCTGTAAGAGCTCTTAACATGGAGCTATGCTGGACTGAGTCAAATGCTTTCTCAAAGTCTACAAATATTAATATCAATGGCTTGTTGTATTCTATAACTTTCTCTATCAAGGATTTTATTTTTTGTAGGTGGTCATTTGTTCCAAAGCCACTCCTAAATCCGGCCTGCTCTAGAGGTTGATGAAAATCTAGCTTAGGTCCCAGTCTGTTAGTAATTATTCTCATAATGAGTTTATATAAATGAGATAATAAGTTGATAGGTCTGTAGTTGCCAATTTCTGTTACATCTCCTTTTTTATGCAATATTATCATAATGGCATTATTCCATTTTTCTGGCGTTTTTCCTTCAAAGAGGCAGGCATTATAAAGGGTTTTTAAAGCCTTTATGACGCATTTGCCTCCTAGTTTTATCATTTCACTTACAATGCCATCTTCTCCAGGTGTTTTGTTGTTCTTCATACCATTTAATGCTGACTTAATTTCCTCTTCGGTTATATCTGGAAGTTCCTCTGACCCTTGATTTAGTATTGCTGGAATTTCTACCTCGGGAATGTGATCATCTCGACTATATAATGTTCTATAGTACTCTTCGATGATTTTTAGTATCTCTTGTTGTTCATGTATGACATGTCCTTGATTATTTTTTAACTTATAAATATTCCTCGTTCCTATTTTCAACTTTCGTTTTAGAACTTTTAGGCTTTTGTTTTGTTCTACGGTATCAGTTATTTCCTTAGTGTTAAAGTTCCTTATGTCTTTCCTAATGGCTTTTGAAATGGTTTTGTTTAAATTCCTTAGCTCTGCAATGTTCGTTGTATGCTTTTCTTTCATTTCCCTTCTTTGTTGCATTAGGTTTCTTGTGTCTTCTGTGAGTTTTTCATTTTTTGTTGAGTGCTTGGCTTGGCACTTCTTCTGTGACTTCTTCAGGGCTTCTACCAATTTTTCGTTAAGCTGTTCAATACTGGTTTCATCTTGCAGGTCTTTCTGTAGATTACTCTCTATTTCTTCCTGGTATGCCCTGGTGTTAGTAATCGCAGTGAATGTAACATTATTAGTCCTTGTTACCATATGTCTTCTTTCCTTCTGTATGTTTAAGACTATCTTCGCCCTAACCATTCTATGGTCACTTCCAGTTGAAAATTGATTTAATACAGTTACGTCTTGAACAGCGTCTTTTTTGTTAGTAAATATAAAATCAATTTCGTTCTTGTTTAAACCATTTGGTGATTGCCAAGTCCACTTTCTTTGGTCGCTTTTTTTAAAGTGCGTATTCATGACATATAGCCTGTGTTGCAGAAGAAATTCTATGAGAGTTTGACCCCTTTCGTTTCTATCGCCATATCCGTGAGGTCCAATTACAAACTCCGAATCATCTTGCTTGTGGCCTATTTTGGCGTTTAGGTCTCCCATCAGTATAGTAAAGTAGAAATGTATACGGAGCCACTAATGAAAAAGAGTTGTGTCATATACAAGAACTAACTACGAGGTGGTCATGTTCTACTGATAGAGACAACAAGACGTAAGATGGGCAGGTCTCATGGACAAAATGCCACAAGAACAATCGATAAACAAACTCTGACGAGGATTCGTAAAGATATGAAGAAACATAAGATGGAGAGTCATAAGATGGCGAACAGTAGCTGAAGATCGATTGGCTTGGGCGCAGATAGTTGAATTTGATGATTGTTTTATACAAAAAGTATTTGCTATTAAGAGATTAGAACTAAGAGGTTTTCGTCTTTAGATTTTCGTCCAATACAACAATACACATGTTAGTTCTGTGATTATTTTAGTTGCAGATATGACAATATTTGACATGAGGGTTCATATCGAAGTTTTTTTCCAATTTTGTTCATTTAAGATGCATTTATGTCAAAGTCCAACTATATCTTAGAGAAGTGTAGTATTATACTGAAAAAAAACGCGTTTTTTTTTTGAAAAAATTACGTTGTTTGCAAACAATTCTTCTGTAGGCAGTGAATGTTGAATAAAATCTATATATTTTTGAAACCTAGAATGATATTGTCTTATTCCCTCTTTTCATTGTTATAAGCAAGAAAATATTTATTTTTTCTTAAATTTCAAATTTCTCCGCGAGAAGTTATAGCAAGGGTAACAAGGAATACCATCCGTGATGATTTTGTACATAAAGACTTATGTTGTCAACTTTTAATTTCTAGTATTATAGTGTACTATCCAAAAGAGATATTTAATAGTAAAATAGGGAAATATTTACTTACCAAGTTCAGGAAACGTTTCATCTTTAACCATCAGAGAATCTTGTTCTTCTTCCTTTTCGGATTTTGGATAATAAATTTCTTGTTTCTCTGACAAATTAGATTCGCAATGTCCAACCCTCATGTGCGCGATGTCGTTGTAGATAGCAGCGTTGACGACAAACTCCATAGGCGCAATCACACCATAAGCTTCAGGTCCGTGTTCGATAACCAAGGGATCTATCACGTTAGGATCGAACATGACAGCATTGGGAGTAACCAAGAGCACTCCGCTAACGACACCTTGGCCATCGGTAATATGGCGTACGTTGATCTTGAGGAATCGCTCGCGAAAGACGGCCGATTCGGAGTCTTCGTATTCGCTGCTACTGCCTCCTTGAGGACATGATGGTGTGCGCACCCTTTCCACATGGCCAGGCTTCGGACTAACCGGCCGCAAATTCTCCAACAATTCTGAAAAGTAGCGAGTCACCGTTGCAGCTAAGTTATACATTTTAAATACAGGATATTTTTAGTTGTTCAACAATAGGTTTATAAACCACAGTTATTTACGAGTGTTATGGTTTTTTATCAGTGACGATCAAATTTTATTTCTTATTGTTGATTAGGCATTAAAACAAAAGTGGGTTCTAGAAAAATACATAAAATTTTATCAATAACGGGTGAATGCAGGAACAATGTTAATTTCGTGTATATAGTTAATTATTAATCAGTATATAGCTATTAATATTAACATTTCTTTTAACTTCAATTAAAGGGACCAAAATATTTACGTTGGCGAAAAGTGCCTTTAGAATTTTGAATAAAATGTTCCATAACAAAATCAAATTGTCGACTATTCATAGACAACCTATTTTTAAGCTTTCCATAGAAAAAACTGCCTTGATTGGCAAAAATATAAATTAAACATTCAAATGTTCCATTTATATAAAAGTGACACATTTGTATATACGCGATAAGGTTCAAAATAACAAGCTGACAGGTAGTGATAAGATAGCGGTTTCATACTGAGTTCGCGTCACACGACAAATAAAAATACATATTTATTTAGGTTATTTTCCGTTATTTAAATACTTCTAATGCTTTATATTATGTTTTTATCTAGTAGGTACTAAGTTTATTAGAAAACACTCGGGGGAAGTCAAATTAACACTCACTAATTGCATAAATTCTCATTGGATAGATCAACTAAACAAATCAGAGTGCACACACTGTAGACGCACATGATCCTAACTAAATAAAACACTTATTTATCGGCTCGTTGGCAATGTCAGCTGATATGCACCAAATCAACAAATCACTATGTTGAAGATATCGAACAACTACCGATATTTATGAAAAAAAAAAACAAGTTCATTACTAATATTTCAAGGTACAGGTAAATATCACTAGACTGGTATTCTACAATAGCTGCGGTAATTTAAAAATAAACAAAATGTAAAAACTTGGCAGTGGTTTAAGTGTAGGAGGTTTTTAATAAGTATGTTCTGTGCCGGCCAATACTTTTTAGTATCTAACCAGTATTATTATACTGAGGTGACTAAGCTTCTTCAAATGGCTCATTGTAGTATATTTTAACTTTTATCTGTAAAGCAGTGAGATAAGGTAAAACACCTCAACGACGATAGCAACATGCATAGCAAAAAGTGTTTTATATGTTTTTATCACAAATTTAAGTATCTATTTAAAATTTAAAATAGGAAAACAGTGGCGTATCAGCAATAAATAGTATTGAGAGTTCTTAGCTGAATGCACAGCACAGGGCTCGGACAAATAGGTTTTAACATTTTTAGAGATGGCGCTAATTAAAGTTAGGTTTATCATTATTAGTAGCACAAAAACTCTTGTGGGTCTTGGCCTTGGTATTCTAAGGTCTTCCTCCATTCAAATCTATTATGGGCTTTACGCTTCTAAATGGTGATTTTTAAGGTTTTTAGGTCTTGTTCTAACTGCTCCGGATATCTAAGCCTCTTCCTTTTGATTTCCTTTCCGTTGGCTAACTTGCGATTCTCTTGGTGGCTAGATATTCCTGCAGTCGTTCTACTTGACCCATCCAGCGGCGGCTTCCAATTTTTATAAATGTGGTGATGTCTTGGAGCGTTTTCATTTTTCTATTAATAACAGCCCTTAAAATTGTGATAGTGCTCTACTAGGGCGGTCTGATAAGAACTTAGTGGTGGTGATTTATTAGTCAACCTAGTTTCCTTTTACCTCGATACACTTAACCCAGCGATGCTTTACCTTTTTTAACCCGCCTGAAAAATACGTTTTCTTGGGTTTTCTACCCATTCGACCTAAATTCCTGTCCGAATAAAAGAAGTCGCATGGAGCAAAATCTGGAGAACACGGTGGATGAGGAAATTTGTTCGTCGAAAATTCGACCTATTTCGCTATGGCGACGGCGAAGGTATGAGCAGGGACGTTGTCATTGTGGAAGCGCACTTTTTCTTCGCCAAATGGGGTCGTTTTTTCTACATTTCGGTCGGCCCAATAATTTGGCGTAGTAAGTCCTTTGACCGTTTTCACCTTTCCTACCGATAGGGCGATAGGATAGTCTTCGCCATTTTCGGAGCACGTTCGCCTGGTGCTGTCTACTATATCGACTGTTCTTTGGTGGATCCATGTTTGGTCGACAGTTAGGAAACGACGTAGAAACTTCTTCGGATTACACTTAAATAACCTCAAACACTAATCTGAATTTATTTCACTCTGAATTTGGTGGGTAAACGCGGCACCCATCAGACAACTTTCTTATGCCCAAAACTTCATGCAGGATATGACATACGTGGTCTTTTCGAGATAACTACTCACTTAACTATCTCGCACACCTTCTGTCGGCGGTCTGCCTATACGAGATCATGGATAATTGTCACGTTATCCTCCGTGGTAGCCATTTTCGGAGCGTCTAAGCGTGGCTCATCAAACGGTTGCCATCGTAAGATGGAGATGATTCACCGTACACAGCGTCCAAACGATCTTTTATTTCGATACGCTATTTCCATGCGGTCAAAACAAAACTACAAATCCGATTGGGCTTAAATTTTAACATTAGCCGTGTACTAGAATGTATGATAGTAGATTTCTCTTGAGATAGTGGCGCCATCAGGCGATGAGGCTAAGTAATAATCGGACCGCCTACGTACATATACTATATTGAAGACTTTTATTATGTCTAAGTACGAATACTTCTGCCGTTTAACAGATTTTGTATTATAAACACAAAGGCACTTTCTTTCTGGAAGTACTAAAAATGTTTATATTAGCAATTGGTTCAAGCTATCTGGTTCAAGGGTATAAAGTACTCAGACGGCAAGATTTGATTCATTTTCGTTTGGTGTTGCGATGGCTGCCGACGTTAAGTAATTAGTCTTTTACATACAGTTTTGTGGCGAGAACTCGCATTTTGCGGTTAGTCTTTTTCATTCTTTTGTTGTTTGATCATTAAGTATAGAAATATTTTATCTCTCCAGAAGCCCACTGGCTGGCTGCTTTCAGCAGCCGTCCGTATCATGTGTTCACCTTCTACTATTCCATCGTTTCTTTCTTGCCGATTAGATATGAAGGGCATCTAAAATTGCAAGAAGATTTAGGGCATCTAAAATTGCATCCCACATCATATCGTTTCATCTAAGTAAGAACTTTTGATCAACTGGTTTCTAATACTCAAAATACTAGTAACTAAAGATATAGAAAACACAGTTAAGCTTTGATTTCACGTATAGTGCTTCTACAATTCGCTTATATAGAGCGCATCCGTAGGAAGCCCTCCTGTTTTTACTAATAGCAAGTAAAAATTCTCACTCTTTAGATGGAACATTTATTATAAAACGCTTATTTCTTACGTATATTCATGTATTCTATAACAAGAAACATAATCAGACAATTCCATGTAAAGTATGGAGTTGTCACTACGCTTAAAATAATATGAGTACAAATAACTTGCATTGAAGAAACTAAGTAGAAAGGACAAAGGGCGAACGAACTAGGTGGAGACTACAAATTGTGGTATGTAGGGAAAAATAAGACTAGGAAATGAGTTGGTATAATTGCTAATAGAGAAATGAAGGAGAACGTAGTAGAAATTCTATTATCAATGGATATAGATATACATATAGATCTTATATATCTATATCCATTGAGGTCGATGAAATTGATCAATGGAATTTTTACTTCATAAAGAAGTGTAGAATATTGTGTGTATGTTCTTCAAATTCCAAGTCAACTGATTATCAGTCTAATTGGCTGGTATTTTCGGTAATTCTCAGACGTAGTCTCCACTTCTAGTAGGGGTCAGTATATTTCCTTTCAGTTCCTTTAAGTTAAGTATTAAAATCGAGTTAATGTTGTTTCGATTTTAATTTTTAACACAGTTAAAATATAATACAAAAACTATTTTCACTTTCACCTTTTTTATGTGGCTATTTTCAGTTGCTAAGTATGTTTTTACTGATGATGGTGTGATGCAATTATAATCCGTTTGGAAAATTTAATTTTTTAATTAAATTTTTTAAATATATACTATTTAACACCAGAAGGTTTTAACTTTACTGTAAGTTTATTCAAACTATGGCACACTCATTGGGACCTCTCCCTTTTTAAAAGAAGTTTTTTGAAACTCTTACCTCCAGGTTTTCCCCTAAACTTCCCTCATAGAGGGGGATAGAAAGCGGAAAGCATCTACGTACGGAATAAATTTTTTTACGATTCTCATGAGATTAACAAAATTTATCATTTTTATTGACCGGTCGCTGTAGAATTTCGATTTTTTGAACTTAATTTTCAAAACCTACATTATGAAATTTCGATTTTGAGTGTTGGCAACAAATATGAGGCATATGAGCAAATTTAGGCATTTGAAATATGCCTAAAACGCTAAATTTAAACTTTTACATTTCAAATGATCTCACGTCAAGGAAAACGTAATTGTACAATCGAGAAGAAAGAGTTTTAAACATTTTAGATCGTTTGTAATCTAAAAGTTTAAATTTAGCGTTTTTAGGTGCATTTCAAATGCCTCCTATTGGTTGCCAAAATAGAAATTTCATGCTATAGGGTTTGAAGATTAGGTTTTAACAATGAAAATTTCATAGTGACCGTTTAATGCAAGTAATACATTTTATTGATCCCATGATAATTGTAATAAATGGCAAAACATAGTAAAAACATTTACTTATTTAATTACTTTATAGAAACTAACTTCGTTAGCGGCAAAGTACAAAAATGGTTTACGAAAGCTGCACTCTTTACCTTTAAAACGCATTTTGATTATTGTCGCTAGGACACTCTGATCAAAAGATATCGAATTTTTACCGTCTAGTTCATACAAATTTAATTTAAAAATTAATTTCACGCGCGCCGAATAAAACTGACATTCAAAATCGCGCAGGTCGCTTCAAGTGTTGTTTCTGAGAGAACGGTTCATCTAAAGAAAAAGTGGAAATAAACATTATCTT